CGGGCCGCCGAGAGTGTCGGGCTGCACTGGAGGCCTCCTCCTTCTCCCGAACGTTCGAGGCTGGATGATTGGTTCCTGGGGGCGCAGGCCAGTCATCGGCAGCCACCTCCGGTTCCATGCTTCCCGGAAGTGCATGAGGAGGTTACTAAGTCTTGGAAGGCACCTTTTTCTGCCCGAAACAGACTTGGTGCCTCCTCCGTCCTCACCACCCTCGACGGTGGGGCGGCCCAAGGGTATGTGGACATCCCTCCGGTCGAGCGCGCGATTGCCATGCAGCTCTGCCCGCAAAGCGCCGCCGCCTGGAGAGGTAGTCCACGCCTTCCGTCCAGGGCCTGTAAGTTCTCGTCCGCTCTGACGGCTAAGGCTTACAGTGCTGCTGGACAGGCCGCTTCCGCCCTGCACGCCATGGCCCTCCTGCAAGTCCACCAGGCCAAGGCGTTGAAGCAGTTGCACGAGGGTGGTGCTGACCCAGGTGTGTTGCAGGAACTGCGCACGGCGACGGACATCGCGCTTAGGGTGACAAAAGTCACGGCACGGGCCCTGGGTCAGACGATGTCCACATTGGTTGTCCAGGAGCGCCACCTATGGCTGACCTTGGCGAATATGAGGGAGGCCGACAAGCATCGCTTCCTGGACTCCCCGATCTCCAAGGCCGGCCTATTCGGCGAAGCGGTGGAGGGCTTTGCCCAACAGTTCTCCACCGCACAGAAGCAGACGGAGGCGTTCCGACACATCCTGCCCCGGCGTGGCCGCAGGAAACCGGCACAGCCCGCCTCCGCCCCTGCCAAGCCCGTGAAGCGCCAGGAAAGGTGGCATCCCTGAGACGGGCGACCCGGAGCTCTTGGATCCTGCTCTTCAGGAGATGGTGACCGCACCACTCCTTCCCCCGGAGGAGGGCCGGGTGGAGAATCTTTTGTTCCCATTTGTTTCTGTTCCGCCACTGGCTACCCAGCCGGTGGTACCCAAAACTTCAATAAAAGAGCAGTTTCCTTTGCCTCCGGGTCCCAAGAGGGCGAGGATGGTGGTGCACGAGACCCAGTCTCCACACGGCCGACCCCCTCTCCTTTCGGCTATGGGTAGCAGGGTCCGGTTCAGGGACGCTATGCCTTCTCACGAGCCCCCTGTCCAGCTGTGGAGCCAGGTAAGTGGCGCGCCGTGCACTCAGACCCCACCCTGGGATGCACAGCCTTCTGGGTTGGGTTCCTGTGTTCCACCTCGCTGCCCCACTGCAGGTACGTCGGTGTTTTCCCTTGTCCCGTTTGTTCGGTCGCTGGGGGCCTGGTTAGCGTTCCCCAGGCCGTCCCACTGGTTCATGAGAACCATCAAACTTGGCTACGCGATTCAATTCGACCGGCGCCCTCCCAAGTTCAGGGGCATTCGGTTCACCTCTGTGCTGGACAGGAATGCTCCTGTCTTGCGTGCAGAGATCACGGTCCTGCTGGTGAAGGATACGATACAGCCGATCCCTCCAGTCGAGATGAGGTCAGGTTTTTACAGCCCATACTTCATCGTACCCAAGAAAGGCGGTGGGTTACGACCAATCCTGGACCTGCGCATACTGAACTGGACCCTTCACAAGCTCCCGTTCAGGATGTTGACGCAGAAACGCATCTTTCAATGCGTCCGTCATTTCAATTGGTTCGCAGTGATCGACCTCAAGGACGTGTACGTTCATGTTTCGATTCTCCCTCGACACAGAACGTTTCTCCACTTTGCATTAGAAGGGCGAGCATATCAGTACAAGGTCCTCCCCTTCGGGCTATCCTTGTCGCCTCGTGTCTTCACCAAGGTCGTGGAGGCAGCCCTCGTTCCATTGAGGGAAGCGGGCATTCGCATTCTCAACTACCTCGACGACTGGCTCATATCGGCCCAGTCCCGAGCGCAGTTGTCCAAACACAGGAATACGATGCTCATTCACCTCAGCCGGTTGGGGCTTCGGGTCAACTGGGAAAAGGGCAAACTCTCCCCGGTGCAGAGGATCTCTTTTCTCGGTATGGAGCTGGACTCGGTCAACCTCTCAGCACATCTCTCAGTAGAGTGTGCAGAGTCGATGCTGAACTGCCTGGGGTCTTTCCAACGCAAGACGGCGGCTCCACTGAAACGGTTTCAGAGGCTCCTGGGGCATATGGCATCCGCAGCTGCTGTCACGCCGCTCGGGTTGCTTCATATGAGACCGTTTCAGCGTTGGCTTCACGACCGGGTCCCGAGATGGGCATGGCGACATGGCACTTACCGGGTTTCTGTTACCCCGTTCTGCCGTCAGACCCTCAGCCC